AAGAGAAGAGAAGAGAAGAGAAGAGAAGAGAAGAGAAGAGAAGAGAAGAGAAGAGAAGAGAAGAGAAGAGAAGAGAAGAGAAGAGAAGAGAAGAGGTCTGTTTGAAAATCCTTATGCATAGACAGAAAAAAACCCTGAAGTTTATCCAGCTTAACATGTCCTAAAGGACAGGTCCTAAAACAAATTCTAAAAGCCTTTTTCTCACAGGCATCTGTTTTTAATAGCATTGCACAGTTTAATTGGCAGGATACAGAGTTAGTAATGTAGCGTGCTCCAAACTTYGCTTTTTCATAACCTTATTCTGAGCTTCTAGGATATTTTCAGTACAATTGTGAACAACTATGTCCTTGATCTTAAAGACCTCTTTGAGATTGCTACAGTAATGAACAAAAACCATAAATTAATTTCTTATCATTTCTGAAAGCCAACCAAGAACTCAGTCCATTAGTCTTTTCACTGGTAAATCTCTCATTAACTTTTTTAGAGTTAATCTTGTAAAAAAAAAAAAAAAAAGAAAAAAAGTTCATCTAGAAAGCAAAGGTTACATAAATTAAAAATACCAGACATTGTTAGTTCTTCCTAAATTTTATTCTACAATAAAATATTTGTCAGAGGCAAAACAAAACTATAAACACAAGCATACATAATGTGCATTACTTACAGTGTATTTCTAGAACCTGCATTGCTATCTGAGGTGTAGAGTTTAGGGACTCATGGTCTACTCTGCAGCTTAAAACTGCACCATCATCACTGCGATCCACTAGGAAATCAAGCGTGCTGCTGACTGTGAATGTTTTACGATTTGCATCTTCTTCTTTTAAATATTTAACATCTGAAAGAAAGATAAACAAAGAGTTTTCTCTCCGATCTTTTTGGGAAAATAATCCAAACATTAGAAAGCTACATTATCTACCAGAGTTGTTTGAAAAAATCTCTTTCATCATATTAATCTCTTTAAAACCAAAATTATTTTACTATAGTTATTGCACAATATGTTCCTTCTGTAACAGCAGGAGATACATACAGAAAAGTAAAATTTTCAAATTGGCTAAATGATACCATACTCCAAGATAAATCCATTTCATGGTTCTCTTTATACATTTAGGTTTCAGTTTGACATAAACTTTCTCTGCACTTCATTGGAAACACGTGGTTTCCTCCCAAACTCACTCCTCTTAAGTATTCACAGTGTCACTAAATGCAAAATTTTCTAAATTGATGCTTATAATTTTTGAAGAATTACTTTCTAGAATTACTTTCTCTTATGAACCAAAGTACAGATATCAACAGCAAGAAACAATTGTTAGTAGTCATTATGTCACAGTAGTTAATGTAATCCCAACCACACTGGAAGCRAAATTATTCAAAAAAAATCTTTCATTCACTGCTTTATATTATGCTAAATTGAGCTATTGTTTCTGTGTTAGGTTTTATCTCAAATGCTATGGTACTGGGTGCCTACTGATTCAGAGACTGTGTGCTCAACTCTGCTCAATGTTAAGGTTCAAATTCAGAAATTCTCATCTTAGGGCACACAAGTCAGGTCAGAATTGAAGATAAAGCCATAATATTTATTTTATGAAGTTGTTATGCATTAGCTTACATACACAGAGTTGCTTTACTTGGTTCTAAACTTAGATTAACCACTTTTTTATATATATATTTCAACAAAATAATATAGTGAATATACTGATTAGTTACAATGATGATTTTAAAAGATTTATATATAGATATATAAACACGTATATTAAATTCCACTGAGATTGCATATACTCTCTGTGTCCTACTAAAAGGAAAAGGAAATGGGAGAGATTTCAGTTTAACAAATTAGCGTAAATCTCATTAGAGAAGATGACCTAAATAAATTTTCCATTAAATATTCATTTAGAATGCAAATCTTGAATGGTTTAAGCYACTTCTGCTTAGATTAAAAGTATCTCTGAAATCAGAAAGATAAGTCTTTTTCACTGTGTCTAGATAGATGGAGAGGCCACATAGTTATGTAATTTATGTGTTTTTTTTAACCTAAGAAATAATTATTTCCTGTACAGAGGCAATTTTTTTTCTGCTTGTTGATTTAAGTAGATTTCAATTTCTACCAACTTGACTACTAAGATCAAAAAGTGAGAAAAATATTAAACAAGACTAAAAGTTGTTATAATCAAAAAGTAAACACCTTTGCTAATATATAAAGTAAATACAGGATATTTTTCCCACAAGTTAGAGTCCCAAGCTTAATAACAAACACCGATATAGATAGCCTTCCCTTCAWAACTAGGCATCCATCCGAGTGCTTATTCACTTTAAGTGGAGTACTATGCTAGTTAAACAAAATCAATTATTTAATATCCCTAAATAGATATTTAGAAACTTTACTGTACGCATCTTTTTATTTATTTGTTTTTTAAACAGCCAACTCCTTCCTTACCTCTGTAAAAAAAAAAGAAAGCATGGTGATGTTATTCTATAAGCTCTCAACATTTTCATCAACAGAAATATTTAGGCTGACCATTTCAACAACTGTATTTTTTTGCATCTTCACAGCAAAATGAAGGTGTGATTGTAAAACACACTAACTTAATGTAAGTCCACCTGGTTACAAGGAGCAGTAAAGATGAGACAGTGTGCGTATTACCATATGCTAGTGTTCAGAATGTCTACTTAGGACTTTATTATAGAGTTTGTAAGTGTGTCTATTTTAGTCCTCTTTTTTTTTTTTTTTTTTTTGGTATATCTCTTTCTTTCTTAAATACTTTTAAAAATTAAAAAAAAAAAAAAAAAGGAAAAATCATTACTGATAAATGTTCTCTGGAATTCACTACAGTAGGAGGATTGTCTAGATGGATAAGAGCATTGCATTAAAGGAGTGGGGGTCCTGAGGAGAGATTGCACATAAGGCAACCATGTGTTCTTCCATGGTTGAAAGCTGGGAAATGACTGGCCTAATCAGCATGGACAGTCTAATCAGCAAGGCAGTGGAAGGGGTTATTCTCTAGTGAGCACTTGTGTGGCTGCACCTAGAGCAYATCACGCCCAACTATTGGCTCCCCAGTATAAGAAGGATGTTGGCAAAATGGAGTGGGTTCAGCACAGGGTAGCCACGAGGGTCAATGGCTGCAATATAAAACACACAAGAGCCAAAGACAGTTGGGCTTGTTCAACCTGTGGAACAGAAGATTAGAAAGGGATCAAAGTGCTGTCTTCACATACATGGCTTTGGGGAAGAAAAAGCCAGGATCTTCTTGGTGGTGTGCAGCAAAAGGCGAGAGGCAATGCACTCGAGTTAAAACATGGCAAATTCCAATCGTGCATGCCGAGATGCCTACACATAACAAAAATTCCTCACAGGAAGGGCTTTAAAGCACTTAAACAGTGCGATAGCACKGAGATACTGTGAAATCTCTGTCCTTGGAGGTTGCTCAAAACTGCTCAAGGCCTTCTGCAACCTGTTCTAACCTTTGAACTGGTCAGACTGGATCATCTCTGTGGGCCCCTTCCAACTTATACTACAACATGACTGTCAGATAGATGTAGATTGTTCTGGGACTGGCTGATACTAGTTTAAATAGCTTAAACAGTTTAAGATAAGGAATAAATAGTTTAAGATAAGGAATAAAAGTATCTTTTGAAAAGATATTTTTCCTTCTTTTACAAGGCAAATATGACTTTTGATTAATTTAAAATCAAGTTCTGCCATGAAACGCCTTGCTCTCGAAGATGTTTCTTTCTCCTTTTAGGTGTTTATGAAGAGAAAAAGTTCAATGCCTCTCTGAATGCTTTGTATACACTAAAAACGCATAAATTAACTCAAAATGTTTTAATCTGTTATTACAAAATCTATTGATACTGTCTTATTTATCTCTTAGGCCTAATTACGACAGGAAGAAAAAAGAAAAAAAAAATCTGTTTTTAAAAACTCCCATAACTTAAATAAAACGGTTTTACATAATATTAATGCAGTAGCAAATTCTATGGCAAAACCAGTCCATTTTTCTACAAAAGCTGTGTATTTAGCTTCTCTCCCATATTTGCACTTTCATAATCTCCTTTTAGAAATGTCAACAAAATGGAGCAGGAGGAAAAAGAAATGACTAGAATGCTCAACTGCAGATAGCTTTGTTAATTTGGTGCCTATGTAAGAGACAGAACACTACCAGATAAGGATTTTTTTTTTTTTTTTTTTTACTAATAGCAATGGAGCTACAATTTCAGAATGGCTTTTTTCCCCTTTGGTGCAACTTTGAACTCAATGCATCATTTATATTCTTTCGCACCGTGTATAATATACTATAGCACAATTGGATTTACGGGTGCTAGACAGACGAACTCCTAACCTTTAATGTCAGATGCATTAGCATATAATTTCATATCTATTTTCTCAGATTTATCATTTCACCTTTTCCAGTGCACAAGCTAATGTAACTTCTGCTGATGCCACTGCAAACTGGTTAGGTTATTTTATTTCTAACCTTTGTGAAAATGGCAATGTGCTCTTCAGAAGACCTAGAAAGCTAAACTGAAATGAATGTGTTCAGTGCTCTCCTCATTTCTATTTTACTCTTTTACTGTTCTCATTCACACATCTTTTTTTTTTCTGCCTTCTCCCCACCCCTTTTTTTTTTAAAGCACCCCTTTAGGAAATGTTGAGAACAGCATGTTAGTCAAATCACCAAATTGCCTGTGTGGTTTCAATTATATCAGCTGAAAGAAGAGGCAAAATTATTACACCAGACTCTAACATACAATCTTAAGCAAACAAACGCTTTTGAAATGTGTTCCTGTTCCTTTTTGCTGTGCATGTGCAATCAGTGGTTCTCTTAAAGTATTAACACTACTTACAGTTATTTTCAATCTTTACATTTCTTTAACATATTCATTCTGTCACCTCTTTTGTATGACGAGATCTCTGGAATGCTGTGCCATATGTTAGCTGTGCTGTTAAATTCTTCTTTTTAATTACACTTGACAAGGTGCTACTTTTCTTCCAGCAATTTCCTCAGACTTCCTATTCCTCACATTTCCCCAGTTTTACAAAAATGTCTTTTAAACATGATTTTAAATAATGTAGAGTTTTGACAAATGGACCATATTATGTGGAAGTCCGTTTAAATACCTTTAACTTCTTTGTCGTTTTTGAACCATCTGATATCAGCTGCTGGTTTACTACCAGAAGTCTTGCATGTTATCTGCATCCTCTCTCCCTCCATAACTGGTGAAGTAAATCCAGTAATTTGTGGTTTCTCAGGAACACCTAACAAGCAGAAAAGTAAAATGTCTCTTATATTGCCAAATGATACATATCTAGTTTTCTTAAGAGAACAAGATTATTTTGTACTTTAAAACCTCATCTTGAGATGATCAAACATGAACTGTGAGGATTCTAACACAAAAAATCCAGGAGAAAATGAAAGATGAAAAGAAATACAGGGATTTCTTTACTTTCAGAAAACATGTAACAAAATAACTAGTAGCTATCACATCATCCATTGGYTCCAGAGAATTCTTCGTCTGAAACTTGTGCTTTGGAAGAGGCCTGATGATCACAAAATACCATATAAACTATATTACATTGGAATGGTTTGTTTTCAAATGTACCAGGGAAGATTTTAAATAAGGAATTCTGAATAAAATTGGGAATATTTAATCAATGAAAGAATAAAATTATTTAACTTTGAAAAACACAAAAATAACTTATTTTAAGATGCTTCTGATGACTGTAATTTTAAAAGTTTTGCAAATGTTATCAGGTCAGAACTTGCATCTCAAATACTTTGATGCATTCATATTTGTGGCTAGATAAAGGAATCAGTCACAGTAATTGATCCTATGCCCTGTATTTCACAATTTGGTTTGTTTACATCTCTTTTCCAAAATGACAAATTAGGTACATAAAAAACATGCAGCAATACCTATCACTGAGTATGTTTCTGTAATAAATCTATTCCTGTCTTTCAGGATATAAAATAGCATCTACTGTAATACCCTGATGCTCAAATCTTCTAATCCATATCAGAGCAGCTAAAGGAAAGATCAGTAGTGCATAGACAATGTATCCGATCAGAAGGATGTAATATATTTCAAAGGAGAACATCCCCTTCTCAAGTAGAAATTTCTTAAAGAATTAAGTGTTACATTGAAATAAAGAAAAAAAAAAACAAAAATACAAAGTGAAAGGTTCTTAAACCTCGTAACTTGCTTTCTTGGAAAGAAAACCACTGATGATGGGAAAAGTTCATAAAAGAAAATTAAACTAAGTTAAACTAAATAGACTATAAAAGATAAGTTACTTAGATTAACAAAGAAGAAAGGCTAGTTTTTTTTTCTGTCATGGTAACACCTTTCTATGTCATTCTGTCATGTAAATATTGAATTTACTTAATCTTTTGTTTAGATCATGAGATGAATCTTTACAAACACACACACACACACACACACACACACACACACACACACACACACAAAACCCAACTTGGCAGATGTTATTTCAGAATTTTCTGCTTCAGAATTCTCTGCTTTGAATTGGCATTTTTTGTCCTTAATGGAAAAGTTGTGAAGAGTTTTGTAAAATAGTCTCATGGGGACAGAAAGAGAAAAGTATTTCATATCCTACGCAAAAATCCAATTCTCTGCCTCGATTAAGGTTAATATTATTGGCACAGAAAATACCTYACATCAGTCCTACTAATTCAACTGTTTGTCTGCCCCTATATAAAAACAAAACAAGGAAAAGAAAGAGTCAAGTTCAGGGACAAAGAAAGGGACAGTAGTAAAAAATCTATCTCTAAAATCACATACCCCTTTAGGTACGCAGGTGTGTTTCAACAAACTATAGCAATTTCAGCTGATTGGGCTGCTGACATTCACAGAATCATATAAACCTTTGGGCAGAAACTTTATTTCCTGGGCATCTGTACAAATCTATTGCTTTTCTATGTGTATATATAACCTTTGTGAAAAACAGCAGTGCATTTAGAGAATAAAGCATAAAAGAAGCAGCAAAACCACTGAAAATATGTACTCTATAGACAGGAAAGGAGAGGATGAGCCAAGAAAATGCTTGGCTAAGGAAAAACTATAAAGCTCTAAAGCCTTTTTTGATTTCATACCTTCTAATTTTCTCCCCATTTCCCTATATTGTACCTTGTTAGGAGATGAACATATGCATTTTCTTCACCCTTTTGCTGCTTGGGAAGCAGAGGTCAGGCCCATTTTAAGGAGCACTCATGCTGCAGCATTCCTGTGCTCTGTAATTCATTGTCCTGCCACAGCACAAGCAGCGAGAGGCGTGCCACTCTTCAGCACTGCCCTCGGAAAATAATAAACGACAGGGAAACTAGATTGGACATTTACATGCATCTTCTGCTAAGCTTCAGAAAAGTTCACTCTTATCATCATTTGCCAAAGCTTGAGAAGTCTGAGCAGCTTGCCTCCTCAGCATTGGTATGCTGAGTCACTTGTACTCACCGAGAACGGTAAGGAAAGCCTTGGAAGTTTTGACAGGCATAGTAAATAAAGAGCAGGTGTACTGCCCTTCGTCCGACAGAGACACATCACTGACGCTGATGCTCAGTTCATGCCACGAAGCTCGAACCAGCTCAATTCTGTTGTCCCTCAGAGCTGAAAAACAGAAATTCACATGCCGTAAGGTATAAAAGAGCCCATCAGCAAAGCTTGGGATGTTCCAGGAGATGCTCTAGACAGTGACCCAGCGCAATCACACCCTCAAAAACAAAGATATAGAGAGGTTAAAGTTATCTTAAGGCATACTCTTTTGTTCGCTTTATGGAATAAGCTTCCAGATTTTAGCAAGTTTCAAGTGCCTAAAAGTTTAGCAAGTGCCTAAATGGCTCGTAATGTATATAAAACTAGAAACGGCTGAATATAAAACTAGAAATCAAGAATACTGATTTCTTGAAATTGTCATTTTTTAAATTTTATCTCATTATCCATTAGGCTGTAAATAAAATTCAGGAAATCTGGTGGTATTTAAGATCATTTCGCACTTATCCCTTCCTAAAAGGATTTTCCCCATGTATTTACAAATTTAGTACCATTTTGAAAATTCTGTTTCCTCCACTAACAAACTCTATTTTCAACTAAAGTGCAATGTTACATATCTTGCCCTCACATTCACTGCTAATCAGATTGAAAGGGAAAACAGATCTCTTGARGAGTCTAAGGGTATTTCTCACTAGGCATGTATTGAAAGCTCTCTTTCTGCTCAAAGCTGAATATAGTGGCTTTTTTTTTTTCTTTTCATTATGACTAGAAATCTGATCTGATAACAGAAAATCCTTAGTAACAAACTTCTGTTTGAAGAAATCCTTTGAGGAAGGAAGAGCAGGGAGCTTACTTAAATTGAAAATGACACTAATGTAGCTAATACTATATATTTTTTAAAGTTTTAAAAACTTGTAGTCAGGTTAAAAAATGTTGAGACACCCAAACATTCTTTTTTTTTTTTTTTTTTTTGAATTAAGCTGTCTCAAAAATCCACATATATTAAGTCTTTCTGCAGTATAGAGATACCAGTCTCAGAAATAAGCAAGCACTGTAATTCTCCTAAGTGAATGACATAAAAGCCTCTGTAACTCAGAAAGTTCTGCTGTGTACCTCTGGATTCAAATCTTTCATCTGAGAGTATTTGAATCTTCACTGTGATGTTCTTTTACAATAAAACTGTGAAAGTAAAATGGGACAATTATAATTACAGAGAGATCTATGTTTTGCTTTGAGAGAAGATCCAAGATTCATAGTCATTAACGCTGTTCTCACTCACTTCTTTCAAAAGGCTCCAAAGGCTCTTAAATTTCAGTTTTACCTAACATTTATATCTGTTCATTGATAAAAATGAAGCTTTACGGTGGCTCTTGTATTCCTAAATCTGGATATTTCTACATTATTGCGGGGTTATCTAAGTGCTGTCAGGATAGGAAGATTTGCACCAAAATTTGCAGCTACAAAAAGGATTCAGCAAAAATGTCACTTGGATTAGTTGTCTTCTAAGGCTCGTGTTCAGGTTCCTTTACCAGGACTTCAAGTGGAATTTATTGGTTATTTCGAGGCAGGTCAGCTAAAGCTTGACTTATTTTTTCCAGGGTCTGATAACTTAGAGGTGACAGCTTAAGCAGGCTGCGCATACAAGTATGCCATAAGCTGCTCCAAGGCATATTAAAGGGATTGAGATTGTAGGTAATAGACAACTACCAAATATATCTGAGGCAGCTTGTGGCATGCTACCGTAGCAAAAACAATTATATAATATACACTGCATGTAATTAATAAACAATGATGGAATGTTGAAGTAAATAAGCAAAAACAAAAAACAAAAAACAAAAAACAAAAAACAAAGTGAAAAGCAGTCTATTACCAATATGCTGATATAAGCACCAGGGAAAGTAAGCTAAAGAAACTCTAAAGTACGTTGAAGCAAGCTTTCAAAACACAAGATTGCAAACGCAGCTGATGACTTGCAGCTCTACTGGACAATGTCTTCACGACAATGAAAATGTTACTCTCTTTAAGTAATAAGATGGAGAATAGAAATCACTTCTCAGTCTTTCAGTTCCAGTCAAACATAAACTGAGCAGACATAAGAATGGTAGATTATTTCACATCACCGACTCCTAAAGAAAATTTTCAGAATGAACCAGTGCTTCCAAATTGCTTCATTACCACACTCAGATATGTAATTTGGACAACAGATTAGGAAATTTTAAAAAACAAGCACCCCATAATTTGAAAGGGGTGATTTCTGCCTCCCCTGAGCCAGAAATTATATAAATATAATGCAGTGTATCATCTTACATAATGCTGTATTTTCTAATAATTTTCATTTGTCACTGCCTACTGATTATTGAGTAGAGAGTGTCTCCAATTCAGAGTTATGTAGCAGTTAAAATATTTTCCTACAGATGTGGCAATATGCCGAATATATCCCATGAGAGGACAAAGTGTCTACAGAAGATGGCACGAGCAAAGCATTTCTATCCTACTGATAGACAGAAAGGAACTAGGGAAATACAAACCAACTACATCAACCACATTCCCTTCTGCTGCCTTCCCTCATTTCTTTCCCTCTACACCTTTTTTTTTTTTTTTTAAAAACAAACCTTTGTACAAGATAAAAAGCCCCAGCTCAGTCAATTTTCTGGAAAAATTGATAAAAACAACCACTGATCAAGAGCTAAGATCTGACATACCAAGTTTCAGCCCAGAGTGAATTTTTATTGAAAGCACAGGAGGGAGAAAAAAAAAAAAAAAAAAAGAGAGATTTATAATGGAAATATCAACATAGAGCCTTTGCAAACATGCTGCAAATAGCACCCACATGATATTCTTGGGCAGAAAAACTGTTTGTCAGGAGCATTTTTATAAGTGCCAAGTCTAAATGCAATTAATAATCTGTGCTATCAATTCCAAAGACAAACTTGCGTTAGCTTTCCGGCCTACAGAGGTTTGAGAGCAGCCCATTAAAAAAACTCCAGCCTTACTCCACAGACACGGTCAGCACCTGCACAGCCTCTTGGTAGGATTTCATTTGCAAGCTTTATTCCTCTATCAAAGTAATGAACAATACTGTATACATATTTTTGAAAGCCATAAATTCCTGCTAYGAAACTGATAGCTGTAATGGATGTCAGAATGGGCTTGTTTCCATTTCCGTGGTAGGTTTTACCTTTTGCTAAAAGGCTGGCTCACAGGAGGCAGCCTGTCTGCTCCTGCCTCCCGACCTCTGGCTCGGCAGGATCCCCGTGGAAGAGGCTCTGAGAGCAAAGGAGTCACCTGCAGCCACAGAGAAGCCACGAGGGCACCTCGTGAGCTGGCAGTTTCCAAGCAGAAGGGCTGGCAGGAGCAGTGTCTTGCAGACCAGAACTCCCTGCCAAGCCTCTGCACCTGATCCATCTCAGCAGATCTCAGTCCTACTTGTTTAAAGAGCAACCTCGGCCCATTTATTACTTTATATTTAWAGCGCGTGAGCTTCAAAAGAATTTGCAAGGGCTTTCTTTTTTTCCTATCAGAAGTTGCTCAAAGCAAGACGATTTTACAAGATTCAAGTCTGCTCAAGGTACTACCATTGCAGAATAAATAACATAAAGTACAATAGAAAATGTTCTCTCTTATTTAATTAGTGACTGAAAGTAAAAAGTAGAGCATGCAGAGAGGCATTCTGCATGAATACAGACCTTGGTACACCCTACAAAACAGGCTCCTGATGTACTGAAATGTCTATGAATTGTTCAGTAGTTACTGCAGGGAATATTTCTAGCTCCTCCCAAAATTAAATGGAAATGCCAAACTTGTAATTAAAGGGTCTGTTTCATACTAAACTATATCTACTGTGCGGTATTCAAGTGACTATTTATTTCTCTGTCTTTTAAAAGGCTGTATTAAGAGCTACATTAGTATTCCACATGTAGCTTCTGAATATTATTTACTATTTATACTGCAGTAGTGACTAGAGAGCCTATGAATGTACTAAAAAGGCAGAGCCCCTAAGGGCTCTGTTTTCACTTGACTTGCCTCATGCCCTAACCTCATTCCTATCTCTGTCAGTTCTCATAGATCCTTCTCTGGGAGCTTTTCTTCCTTCCCACTCCCCACTTTGAAGGAAGCCAACAGGCCTTTTTAGCCTCTTTGCAGGGATTTTCACCTACATTGCAGTATCACTATCTTAACTGTGCACACCTGCATTTTTACATGCTACAGTGATGTTAGAGAAATAAACAGTAAATAAGCAGAGTTTGACACAAATATATTTAACTTCCACGAAATATGTCTACATCAAAACCGTAAGAATCAATACTACCACCAGCCAGCTTGTCCTTGCTGGAATCTTGCATAGCAAGCACTTATAAAAAATGTAGGATGCAATGGGAAACATAATTGCCTAGTGAGTTCCAGTACGTCCTTAGCACATTAGTAATATTTTATAATTCCCAGACATATTTGATGTAGCTTCTGCAAGGATATGAAATAATTATGCATAAAATACTTCTTCCTAAACAGACACACTTCATTTATTTTACCTGCCATTCCCTTTTTCTATTTTATATATMTATGTATATATCAAAATGTTTTTGGAGTCAGAAGAGAGTCCTTACAAGCAACTAAAATAATTTGCCCATCTTAGATTATTATGAGCAAAAGTGCAGTGTATTTCAGCTGCATTAACTAGAAATTAAGACTGCTAAATATCTCGATAAACTGATCTCCTTGTCCACAATCATATAAAGCTATCTATCTATCTATCTATCTATCTATCTATCTATCTATCTATCTATCTATCCGGTCTTTTTTTGTACAAAACAGTATAAAGATGATATGTAGTGAAACCTTGGGATATAATCATACGTAGTGAAACTCTGTGATAAGAATTAGATCAAAAAAAAAAGAAAATTTGATGCTTGCACTATCATGGAAAAAAACACTCACATTTCRTACTGGGAAGAAAAGACACCTGGACCTTTTAGATACAGTAGCCACAGAGCAGTGTCTGTAATCTTATATCTCTAAAGGTACTATGTCTTAGTAGTGTTTGGAATCAAATATTTGAACAATGGCGAAAAAACAAACAACTCAAAGCCAAATTCTCCAGAGTAATTTGCAGATGTTTT